CACCTCGGGCGCGTGGCAAGGAAATTGGAGTCCTGGGTTCAAATAATGACTGACTTGAGGAAGGAGAAAGCCGGGCACTGTGTTGGGGACGAACAGGAAGAGAGGTTCAGGTACTAATGCCTTTAATAAGGACTAATTCTGATGCCAAGATTCAGAACCAATTATATTTTCATAATCCTTCAATGGGATAGGCATTTAACAGTGACTGTTTTGGGCATATGTTCTGCTGAATTCCCCTTACCATCCATCAGTATCCTGCTGCAGGGGCTCCTCTCTCCTGGACTTTGCCAAATTACACACTGAAAACCCATTTCCTTCTTAGCTAAGCTACTCTCCAACATTGTGAGCCTTAATTCAAGGTTGCAGAGCCTGAAAGGAAGAGATAGGAAGACTATTACCATTTTTCCACCAGATAACAAATACTATAATCAGAATCCACAGAAATGTCTATGTACCTTGAAGGTTTAAATTTTAATAAACTATTCAAAACAATAGAAATGAGTAGCTTCTATTATTGCTACAATTACCACAATATGATATCAGCTTTAAATTATGGTGCTATGAAAAGGATGATTTGGTGAAAATGATCTGATATTTATTCATGAGTTAGATTTTGAGTATACAAATTATAATTATTAAATTCAAAGGTTAATGCAGCTGAAGCACAGTGGGTAGGCATTTGCCTTGCATGCAGCCGACCCGGCTGACCCGGATTCAATTCCTGTATCCCTCTCGGAGAACCGGGCAAGCTACCGAGAGTATCTTGCCTGTGCGGCAAAGCCTGGCAAGCTCCCCGTGACGTATTAGATATGCCAAACACAGTAACAACAAAGTCTCACAGTGGAGACGTTAGTGGGCCTGCTCGAGCAAATTGATGAACAACAGGAGAACAATGCTACAGTGCTATAATTTTAATTTAGAGAGGAATCTTTCCTTTAACTTGCACTTCAAAATATTTCATTTTCTCCATCCATATACATCTGTATGTCTGTTTTGTCACTTAAAATATTAGATTTCTTATATTTTTTTTTCTTTTTGGGTTACACCTGGCAATGCACAATGGGTTACTCCTGGCTCATGCACTCTGGAATTATTCCTGGTGGTGCTCAGGGAACCATATGGGATGCTGGGAGTCAAACCTGGGTCGGCCACATGCAAGGCAAACACCCTACCCACTGTGCTATTGATCCAGCCTCCCTTATCTTTTTTTTTAAGAATATGTTTTAGAGTGTTTGTCATTGTCACAAAGTTCATTCTCAAAAGAAACTGAATTAATTTATTGGTGCTTTATTCAGAAAAGGGGAATTTAGGAAACAAGTATCTTATTGTTTGTGATTTGGGGTTATTTTTCAAATATGAGGAATGGGTCAATTTTGTTTTCATAGAGAAATATACAGTAAGATGAATTTCTGGTGCCTCTTGAAGACAGGATATTGTTATAAAGACTGCAGCCTGATCATTGCCAAGGGAGATGTATCAGGGAGTCTTAGACTTTGCTCTTAATTAGAGGTTGTTCTGGTCTTTGCTAATATTTGGTCATAAAGTCTCCCTGGAAAACTGAACAAAGGATGCCAATTTTTTAACTATGGGGATAGATTTTGAGTAGCTGGAAGTTTACTTACACCCGAGAAATTCCAATGTGATGGCTACACACTGTGGGCAGACTGTTCAAGATTTTCTAAATACTTTTAGAAATGTAATGAGGGTGGAGAAAGTATTTTGCTACCAGTTTCTCTTATTAAAATGTTGGTCTTCCTTGAGTTCTTTCATTTCAGACTTATTCTGAGTTTTAGTCAAGACCACATCTAATATTTTTTGTCTGTATTAGTAAACAGATGAGAAGCTCTTAGACTGAGATAGTGAAACTGGGGAAACTATCAGGCCATGAATGTAAATTATGCCTCAGTGATGTGACGGCTAGAAGATGTCCAGAAATAGTATGGCAGAATGTCAGCGAAGGGATACCAGTGAAGCAGGGGAAAGGCTAACATGCTTTGAATAAGGGCCGTGAGATATATCTCCAAAGAGCCAACCAGAAATCACATTTTTTCTACCTTATTGCCACTACCAAAATGCAAACATTCCTAACCTAAAATGCTAAGGTTCCTGCAGCCATACAGTTGTCTGCATATACTTGAGTCACTTTCAGCCATAGCAACAACACAAGGATGGTAGTTTTCAGCCTTGAACTGATAATGTTCAAATTCACAATTTGTGTATACAAACTGTTATTTGAGCCAGTTTGCCTACTCAAATGTGTCATAATACAAATATAAATTACATAAAGTAATTATTGCATTATTTTATTAAGGTTTATCATTGTATATAAAGCTTTCTGAGACAGAAATGTAGGCGTCAAATCCATTATTCATTGTTTTTTTCTAGGCAAACAGATATGACTATGTAATGAAAACTAGTCTTCTGCCATGGGTATAACTCTGAGTTCTTCAGTAATAAATGTTTTCTAGGAGCAGGAAGTTCATATGCAAAAATCTTATTTACAAAGCAAACCTTGTCTGAAAAAATAGACTCTTGGTTTTTGTTCTGTTTACTTTTTTTTTCTGGTTTTGTAAAATTTGCTATATTACCAAGGGCTCGGCTTGTTTTTTTTTTATATTGATATGAGATAAAGATTTGGGAACTTCTTTATGAAATGGTCTTAATTCTCCTTAAGTAATTTAATCAATTCAACTTTTATTTAAGTATTCAGACATCAAATAGAAAAGTATGTATTTCCCTGAATCTAGAGCAATCATTCAGTGTTACCCAGTGGGAAGTGTGGAGGGAATTGTTCTGGACTTAATCATCTGGTAAGATCTTTTTTAAATCTATTTAAAAACCATGGGTGAATATAAATTCACTGATGAGTTTAATTAAGCACTGTGTGTTACTCTTTGTTTTTATTTGATAGTTTTTAAAAATAGTTTAAAATTTTAGTAGCTAGATTAGCTCCTCTTTAATCACTCATTGTTTTGAAGTAGCTTTTGTGGAGAACACTACACTTCAGGTGATGGAATCTTTCAATTGTCTGATAATAACCTGGGGGGGAAAGATTTCATCTACCAGTAGGAAAAATTATCTGAGTAATTTTTATTGTATGCCTAAGGCATTTTGTAATTGTCCAAAGCTAATTAGCAAAGCCCTAGCTACCGCATAATCATCAGAGAAACAGGTGAAACTTCTCAGTTAAATCTATGTAAAGTCAGTCATGAAACTCAACTCTGTATCAGTATAGTGGGTGAGATACTACCAGTTTGTTATTGCTAAAAGTGATTTGGGTGGATGTAGATGCAGCCAGGCTGCAGGACTGTAGGAACTTGAGCATTTTAGGTTCAGAATCCTCACCACTGAGCTCAAACTAGAGATGATTTTGATTCTGAGGGAAAAGCACCATGACATGTCCACAGGCAAATTCACCATAGGGTCTTATGACTGATTTTGATAACAAGGTCCACTGAAAATAAGAAACTGTTGAATCTTTAAAAAATTAGTTTACCTTATTTAAGAAATGAATGTATTGTCTACTCTAGTAATAAATGAATATATGGATATTAATAAATGTTTGGAACTTTTCAGTGCAGAAAAGTAACCTCTGACATGTTTACCAAAGAATCTACAAAACCATTAAAGAAATTAGAGTTTTGAATTTGTCTTACACAGCCCAACCTATAATGGGATCAACAAAAGGCTTTGCACTTTCTATCATATAACGTATTTTCTTTGCTTATTTGCCTATAAATAACAGTACCTATAAGGAAATAATAATCTTTCTCCAAAGCCTTCACCATTAAAGCCATAGGTCACCATAAGGACCAATCCTGGCATTTAAACACTAACAATAAAAGAGAGACTAGTTCTAAGCACTAGAAATCCCTTGTCACCCAAAATATCTCCTGATGTTTAGGAGACAATTCAATATCAAACTAAGACTTTTTTTAAACATGGGTCTAGAAGAAAGTCCCTTGAAATTAACCAAAATTAGGATGGCCCAATTAGCATTGCTGCTTTTTTTTTGGTGTGTGTGAGGGGGTCACTCTGGTGATGCTCAGGGGTTACTCCTGGCTCTGCACTCAGTAATTATTCCTGGTGGTACTCAGGGGACCATTTAGGATGCTAGGGATTGAACTCAGGTCAGCTGCATACAAGGCAAATAATCTACCTGCTGTACTATCACTCCAGTCCCTAGCCTTACTTCTTGTTAATTTTATTTTTTCAGATTCAAACCTGGTTCATGTAGAACTTATAAGAAAAAGGATTCTAATTGCTTCATCTCAGTAAGATATTCCTGGAAGGGATGTTACTATATATTGAGATAAATATTTCAAGAGTTCTCTGAGATCACAAAACACCTACCACCTTTGAAGCTTATTCGTTTTTCTGATGCCCTGTATCTCAGGTTTGAGGCCCTTTTCCTCTGTCCTTGGCATACTCCCCTCAAGTATGTTTCTGTCTCTTGATTTTGCATTCAGAATTGTCAGCCTCTAGTGTGATCAGAGAAGTACTCCAGGTAAAATTGCCGTACTGCTCAGAAAGACGTTCCTGACGTACAGATTGAAGCAGTGCTACTTTTTCTATTTTTTTCCTTGGTTTTGGACTACTCTCAGTATTGCTAAGAACTTACCTTTGGCTCTGCACTCAGGGATCACTTCAGATGGGCTTGGGAGACTTTATGGGATGTCAAAACTGGTTCGGCCAAGTGCAAGGCAAGCGTCTTCCCACTGTACTATCACTCCGTCCCCAGTAGTGCTCTGCTTTACCTGAAAACCTGTGATAATTTCTCCTGTAACTCAAAATTCCCTGACTTAGTAAAAAACATTTTTTTTTCATCATTGCTATTCTCATGAGTGCCTCTCCCACTAGAGGATGATTCCCAGAGGAAAGATTTTTTTTCTTTATGGTAAGTATTTTCTGCTGGCTGTATAGCTGAGTAGGTATTGACTGAAGAGATGATGAGAAATGTTATCCTGAGCACTAACATGACTGTTTTCTTCCTTCTCCAGGACTTTGGCGTTATGTTCCTGCATCACATTGTTTCTATTTTCTTGATTACCTTTTCATATGTCAACAATATGGCTCGAGTAGGGACCCTGGTCCTCTGCCTTCATGATTCAGCTGATGCTCTTCTGGAGGTAACATTTCTTTTATTTCATGAGCACAAAACCTACAATTCAGATAGTCCTCAAAACCATGGATACTTCTGTGTTCTACTAGAATAGGGGTCACCAAACTTATTTGACTTACCACTCCCTTAGAAAACATTATTTAGGGGGCCGGAGTGATAGTGTTGTGGGTAGGGCTCTTAACTTCCATGCAGCTGACCATGATTCAATCCCTGGCATCCTGTATGGTCCCCCAAGCCCGCCAGGATGATCCCTGAGTTCAGAGCCAGTATAAACCCTGAGCATTGCCAGGTGTGGCCAAAAAAAATCAAAAACAAACAAAAAATTATTCAGTGACCCCCTGGAAATCTGCCTTCTTAAAACAGAAAATGTCCCCCGATTGCACCAGAATCTTCTCCCAACATTTGCATCATTCTAGTGCTTCCTCAGGGGTGGAGGTGTTGACATCCCCCACTGTGAAATGGACTGTGCTAGATGGTTCTAGGAAGAGCTGAAAGGATTTGCTTTGAAACTGCAGGGAGTTCTTTGTAGATTAAATTGAGTGTGAGTGTGAGACTAGTACATAAATTTTTATGCAAAAACTGTTCATTGTGTTAACATTTATTAGTAGAGTGATAAAAACTTACTAAATTAGGATTTTTCTTCTTTGGAGAAGTAAGTATACACATCTTTGTACCTCTCTCTCTCTCTCTCTCTCTCTCTCTCTCTCTCTCTCTCTCCCCTCCCCCCTTTCTGTCTCATCTCACATTCCTCTTAATTTCAGTAAAACTGAAAAATGAACTGGTTTCACTTCTGGAGTTTGAAGTTTCATAGTGAGTTATTTAGAACATATGGACTAGTTAATAATGAGTATAGCACATCTTGATTAGCTATAATTCTTATTTTCAATATACATATTATTCTGATATCCTAATATTCTTTAGAGTGAAAAGTGCATATAAATTTAGAAAATTGGTTTCAAAGAATATCTGAGGAAAAGCGAAGTGTACTGTTAATATTTTGAAGTTATAATTTCTAATCATTTAATGTATTTAAAGACGGAATAAGAATGGGCCAGAGAGATAGTTCAGCAGGTAGGGTGCTTGCTTTACACACAGCTGACCTGGGTTCATTCCCTGCCTCCTTTTTTGGTACCCTGAGCCCTGCCAGGAGTGATTCCTGAATGCAGAAGCAGGAATATGTGCTCAGCCAACAAGGTCTCACCTAACCCCCCCCCAAAAAATAAGAAAGAAAAAAGGAAAGAAAATACTTTTTACATATTTCATAAGTTATAATCTCAAGAAAAATGTTGTATGGCATTTAGTCTAAATTGTGCATCTATACAGTCAAATAATTCTACACTAGGAAATTTATGTAATTGCTCAAAAATCAACTTGCTTGATACAGATTCCATGCATGAATGGGATTTAAGATCTTTATTATGTTTTATGATTCCCATTGTACCACAATTCTAGTCCTTTACAGCACGTATTGTCATTGTTAATATGGACTACAGGTGTCCTCAGATAATGATCTGTTACTGCACTGCAAGCAGATGTTCTATGCCATAAAATTGAATCTACTGTAAAGGCAATTAGTCAAGATTTGTGGCACATACAGTGCTTTATTAAAAACTCCAGTTCCTCTAATGAAACAGGAAAATAATACTAATGGTCCAGACATGTCAGATAATACCCTGGTATTTTGATGTCTAAGGCATTTAAGCTAGACTCTGTAGTCAGCATAATTTTTAAATAACAGGTATAATTAGTACAGAAGAGCAGTACACTGTAAATCATTTACAACTTTGATGTAGAAATTTACATAGCAGTCCACAGTTTTGGAATCAATCCCATATAACCTGCCAACTCTAGTATTTAAAAATGACTGGCATCATGGTTGAAAGAACCATAATTCAGAAAATGTTCTTTGAGGGGGTATAGCTTAGTGGTAGAGCATTTGACTGCAGAACATGTTCTTTGAATTGTCATATACCAAGTTTATAAAAAATTTAGAAATCTCAATCATGTGATTTAAAATTATTTAAATACTCTTTGTCATTATAAAAGAAATCTTGACATTAAAACAATGAGATATGTTAACTATTAACTCCTAGATATTAAAGAAAAATATATTTGAGTGTTTTCTATTGAATATTATTAAAATGAAATATAAAAAAGAAAACTACATGGTTTATATAGCCAAGTGCATAGGCAGAAGATTTTTTTCTCTCTTTTATTTTTGTTAGTTTTCTAATTATTTAATTTTTTTTATAATTTTATTTATTGAATCACCGTGAGAGCATGTTGTTAAATGTAAAGCATTCATGAAAATAAAAGTCCGTAAACCTCAACTTTTTTTTAGTTATAGTCATTTCCCCTTAGGAATATGTTCCTCTCATAGCTTGTTCTAAAAGCTATTAATTGTAGTTCTGTCAACAGTCTTTTCAAGACTAGTTCAGCTCATTTATCTTTCCAAGAAATCGAAAGTAATGGTGTGAATTTGGAAGCGATCTTCATTTTCTGGTCCAGTGAATGTGGGTGCTGTGAATTCTGTGTGAAATTGTAGAGAGAGGTAATCAAGCAAATTATGTAGTGTCACCTGTTCTTACTTAGACTCACCTGTAAAAATAGTAAATGGTAAAAGTATGTGGTTTATAATTTATAAAATAAGAAGTGGCCCATTGAATCACTGTTATAGATTATTATTTTTTTCTTTTTTGTTAAATTTATTTATTGAATCACCATAAAAAAAGTTACAAAGCTTTTAGGTTTAAGTCTTGGTCATACAATGATCAAACAGGGCATGAAGGATGTGCCAGTACCGCCCCCCATCCCATGAGGCTGCAGTTTCCCTGTCACCCCCCAGCTCATACCTGGCTACCTGGCTGTCCAGTAAGCTCTGAGGTGGCGGCCACCATGCTGCTGGGGGAGGGGGGAGGCGGAAGAGACAGACACCCTTACCCTCCTGGTGGGGGGCATGCGCCATTGTCATAGATTATTAAAGTACTTCTTTTAGATCCTTTAAACATCAGTGACTTTTCTCTTAAAAAATGACCCTTTAAAGTAACTTTGAAAGTCAAACCTAAATGGATTTGTTGAAATAACATGAGGATGACATATTCTCTATTTCTGAATGTAGAAAGAGTGAGCCAAGAAACTGTCTCCCCCAGGGTACTTTTTATGCTTGTTTAAGACAAACTAAGAACTCTAAGTTGAGAGAAACAAAAGGAATAGTTCATGTATTCTATGTAGTTTGTGGCCTGTTTTTTTGGGATTCACTTTCTGACTTTTTGACCTTCTATACAAAATTCTTGGTTTTTGTTACTTTGGCTTACTAATATCATCTATAACGTAAGAATTTCTTTTTTTGTTTGTTTTCTTGAGATCAACAATATAATTAAATTTTTTAGGTTGCTGAATGTTTTATTAAATCTGACCGTATTTCATGACTAATGCTGCATTTCACTCAACTTCTGGGTAATTTATAAATCTGATGCATGATGCATGATATTTTAAAGTAGCAGGCAATTTTCTGTATCTGGAAAGTTATATCTTATGGGAGATTCATGCATATTAAAGGAAGCTTTTCATTTGTTCCAGTAAATTAATATTTAACATTCCTTCCTTTCACAGGCTGCCAAAATGGCAAATTATGCCAAGTTTCAGAAAGTCTGTGATCTCCTGTTTGTTATGTTTGCCATGGTTTTTATCACCACACGACTGGGCATTTATCCTATCTGGTGAGTACACAAATTTTCTTCCAATACTATTCCACCATTCCCAGTTGGACTTTATGGACCTTTTTCTTTTTGAATTTTACTCCAGATACTTAGTAGGTAGTTTAAATAAAATGAAAGAAACTAAAGAAACAGCATGATTTTTCTCATCTAAAGGATGGTTGCACACTGAACCAATATTTTCCACAGGATATTGAGAAGCTTATGTAGGTTCTAAAGTTACCAAAAGCCCCTTGTCATTTTAGACTTCAGTGTAGAATATGATTTGAAAAACTTAGCCATAAAGTTTAATTCATAAAGTAATTTAATTCATGATGTAATAGCCATAAATCTGACGAGCAGCAGCAGTATTACCTGGGAACTTATTTGAGGTATCACTTCTTTGCCCTGCTAATCTGTGTTTTTGTAAACCTTCCTGGTGATTCTATTGCACATTAAATTTTGAGAAACATCATCCTATATAATTTTCTTTATCGCCGTATTTTCTGTATTTTCAACTAACACTGATGGAAGATCTGTATGCTTTTTCTTTCATTGGGAATCAAGAAAAATATATTGCAGTTTTTGATAAAATTTGAGCATCTTTTTAGTAGAAAATCTATCTATTCCCATTTAATCCTTTTTCAAAGCTTAATGCTTGAATTAGAAAAAAATGCCCTTTATGTCACTTGCAAAATTGACATCAAAATTGCCATTAGTAACTTTCACAAAGAAGAAATCCGAATGGCAAAAAGGCACATGAGAAAATGCTCTACATCACTAATCATCAGAGAGATGCAGATCAAAACAACAATGAGATATCATTTCACACCACAGAGACTGGCCCACATTCACAAGAACAAAAGCAACTAGTGCTGGCGCGGATGTGGCGAGAAAGGGACCCTCCTTTACTGCTGGTGGGAATGCCGGCTGGTCCAACCCTTTTGGAAAACAGTATGGACGATTCTCAAAAAATTAGAATTTGATCTCCCATTTGACCCAGCTATAGCACTCCTGGGAATATATCCCAGAGAGGCAAAAAGGTATAGTCGAAGTGACATCTGCAATTGTTTGTTCATTGCAGCACTCTTTACAATAGCCAGAATCTGAAAAAAAACTGAGTGCGCGAGAACAGATGACTGGTTAAAGAAACTTTGGTACATTTACACAATGGAGTACTATGTAGCTGTTAGAAAAGATGAAGTTATGAAATTTACATACAAGTGGTACTACATGGAAAGTATCATGTTAAGCGAAATGAGTCAGAAAGAGCGGGATAGACACAGAAAGATTGCGTTCATCTGGGGAAGATAAAGCAACAAAAAGGGAGACTAACACCCAGGAATGGCTGAGATTAGTACCAGGAATTTTGCTCCATGACTTGAAGGCCAGCCACACGTGCTAGGTGAAAAGGAAGCTCAGATAGAGAAGAGAGCACCAAATAAAGGGTGTTGTGAGGATCCTTCCAGGGTGGGAGAAGCATGCTAAAAGTAGTCTATAGACCAAATATGATTGCCACTCAGTGCCTCTCTTGCAAAACACAGTACCCAAAAGAAGAGAGAGAGAACAAGGGGGAATGCCCTGCCACAGAGGCAGGGTGGGACGGGGGGTTGGGGGGTGGGAAGGATGCTGGTACCCATGGTGGTGGAGGATGGGCACTGGTGGAGGGATGAGTACTTGATCATTGTATAACTGAAACCCAAGCACAAAAATTTATAAGTCTATAAAAAAAATTGCCATTAGTGGCATTTTTTTTCAACTAAAGGCAAGTTATATCTGCCAAAAAAGTTATATTCTGGCAAGCTCCCTGTGACATATTCTATCTGCCAGACACAGTAACAACAAAGTGTCCAATGCAGACGTTACTGGGCCCGCTCGAGCAAATCGATGATCAACGGGAGGGCCTTTACTTTTTTAATGACAATTATTTTTCATTTTAAGAAATTGACTTGGATGGGAAATTTAAGCAATGAGTTGATAAATCATTGGTTTCTATAAATAAATTTATGGCACAGAGATGTATACACACACACACACACACACACACATCTTTCTCCTTGAGCCTCCTAGCTCCTTTGGACACTTATGAAAATTATTTCTAATGGTATTCTATGTGACACCTGTAATTTGTAAATCCTCATTATAGTTTTATTTGAGTATAGGTAGGAGACTTTGAAGTAATTTTTTATATACTGGGTATGTAATTATTGCAGGAGAGATTCTCTTTTAAGATTACTCTAAGAACTCAATGGTAAGAATTTATTTATTTATAGTTTTGGGGCTACACCCAGCAGTCCTTTGGACATACTCTTGGTTCCGTGTACAGAGATTATTTCTGGTGAGCTTTGAGGGAACCATATGTCGTGCTGGGAATGGAGCCCACATCATCTGCATACAAAGACAGTGCCTACTTACTATACTATCTCTCTGGCCCCTATAGTGGCAAGAATTTAAACAGAAAAAATTCAATCAAACCTCAGACGGACTTCTCAGGAAAGTAATAGAAAGCCTTTTCTACTTAGGATTTCTGATAACCTGAGTTTTATAAAATAAGTAAGTAAGTAAAGTAAGTAAAGGCCCTCCCGTTGATCATCGATTTGCTCGAGCGGGCCCAGTAACATCTCCATAGGAGACTTTGTTGTTACTGTGTCTGGCATATCGAATACTCTCGGTAGCTTGCCGGGCTCTCCGAGAGGGGCGGAGGAATCGAACTCGGGTCGGCCATGTTGGCTGCGTGCAAGGCAGACGCCCTACCCGCTGTGCTATCGCTCCACATCACTTTACAGTTCTTTGATTTGCTTCATTCTCCATCAGGATAGAATTAAAATAAAGATGCATCACTTCTCCTTTACTCTTGTTAACATATAAAAGCTCTTCAGGTTAGACAGCAGTGAATTACTTAGACTATAGTCTCGAAAATATAGAAATTATGCAATGCTGCTAATAAGATAACATGTGATTTGCTCTGTGATGTTAAACCATTGCTCAAAAAAAATCCTTTGATGAGGCCAGAGCATTAGTACAGTGGGTAGGGTGTTTGCCTTGCATGTGGCTGACCCAGGTTCAATTCCTGCACCTGGTAGTTCCTGACACTGTCTCACCTTCCTAGTAGGCTAAGAATTGCTGGGAAGGTTCACGGCCCCCTGAGCACTATTTGCAAGACTCCCGACCAACAGTTGGAGATCCAATTTTTTTTCAATTTTTAAAAGCTTCTTTCTGGAAAACAGACAAAATGCAGCAGACTCTTCCTAAGAGAAAACTCCTAAAAATGTGAAAAATTTGAATATATCATCCATCTGTAGGTTTTCTCCTCTCCAGAAATCATCTTTAGTTCCCTCAACTACTTCCGTTTGTTCTCCTCTGTTTGTTCCTCGGATTCCTCCTGTCATGGTCTTCTAAATGTAGAGTAGCTGGTACAAAGCATGAGAGAACTACAAACAAGCTTTATTTAGAACTTCATTTCTTCTGTTGCAGCCTGCTGCTGCATTCACTTTGTAGACAGCTTTCCCATTGTTCTGGTAGGGATCTGAGAAACAGCTGCACCACTGCCAGACTAGAACTCCCGTAGCCTAACATTAGTTTGTTTTTATTTAGATTTTTAATTATGACTTACTTATATACCTAATTATAAAAGCTATATTTATCCCTGTCGGATTTCAAATGCCATTTTCTGATGTTCTATTTAGCTTAGGATCTTGCAAATTATATCTAGTGCTGTACTTAATCCTGCCACCTGCCTGTTCCTGGTTACATGTATCCTTCTCATAACTCATTGAATAAAAGGTGATCCAGTCCTCCCAGGATGGGAGAAGCATGCTGAAAGTAGACTATAGACCAAACATGATTTCCACTCAATGCTTCTCTTGCAAGCCACAGAACCCAAAAGGAGAGAGAGAGAGAACAAAAGGGAATGCCCTGACACAGAGGCAGGGAGGGATGGGGGGTGGGAGGGATACTGGGACCCGTGGTGGTGGAAAATGGGCACTGGTGGAGGGATGGGTACTTGATCATTGTATAACTGAAACCCAAGCACAAAAATTTGTAATTCAATAACTATACCTCATGGTGTTTTACTAATTAAATAAATAAATAAAAAATAAATAAAAGGTGATCCAGGGGAAGTGCTACTACTGAAGAGTTTATTTAGTTTGACCTCATTATCTCAGCCACCAGTCTTAACTATATTTTTACTTGATACATTATAACTCCTGTCATCATGCTGCTACTTATCCACATTTTTAAAAGTGTTATAAAAGACCTGTCAGTGGTTTAGTGAAAGTCAAGACTTTTTGTTGTTGTTGTAAAAGGCATTTCTCTGCCCAGGAAAATGATAAAAGAATATAAACCTGTCTTACATGAGTTGACTTTGGGGAAACTATGATGGCACTCTTCCTCATCTGATTGTTGATAACATCTGCAGTTAACTCACCAGTCTAGAATTTCTAGTCTTAGTCTTTTGTATGTGTTTTAGATGTTGATTTGCACTTTGTAGAAGGCCATCATTTTTAATGTGAAAAGTGAATATTTATGGAAGACTCACTGTGAAGTCAGTACTGGGATAGATGTTGAGAATTCAAATAGCTACAGGCGTCCATTGGGAAACTTACAATTGAATCTCTATAAGTCCTTTCAGTATTCTGACTGTAATTGGCAAGGGATCTAGAGAGTATGAATTATTATTTTATGAACATTTATGGGATATAGATTATAGTTTATGTGATATATAATATAAATAAATTATCGAAATTAGAAGATTTCTTGTTTGTGTTGTATAGCTCTGCAAGATAAAGGAACAATAGACTTGATAGAGTATGTGTACAAAATAATCACTGGTTACCAGAGAGAAATGATGAAGGTAGATAGGACTCAGTTCTAACAAGCATTTTATAGAATTCTTTTTTCTTCAATGATTTGTACTTCCACTGAGAGAAAAAAATATTCCCTGTTACCCTCTGCTGCTTCTACTTTGCAGTCTCTTATGTGCAATTATCAGCAATACCCTACAGATTCCTCCTGATTATATT